AACACCACACCGGACAGCCGCAGGCCGACTTCACTTAGGACCACGGTGCCAAATCCCAACCACAACATCAGTGAAGCGACCTGAAGGGAAACTGCCCACACCGCCGGCAGGGCTGGTTCTGCAACCCAGGAACAGCCTGACATCAGCCCGCTGTCCCCCACTTCCCGGGTGGGACAGTGTCCATGGGAAAGGATGCACAGGAGGCGAGGGGAAGAGGGAGAGGCCCACCAGAGGCCATGCCACGCAGGGCACGCGCACCCACGCACCGCTCGGCAGTGCTGACAGGTGCCATGAGACATGAAAGGAGATGGGCAGTGACAACACTGCAGCTCCTGGCAGGTGCCATGGTGGCCACCTGGCAACTCTCAGCACCTCACTGATTGCCCAGGTACAACGAGAGTTGGGGAGACAGCTTTCTCACACAGAGCAGCAGCCCATCAGGAAACAGAGTGACCATCAGGGGTAGGATGAGTCAGGGGAACAGATCTGGCACATCTCAGACGGGCGGACACCTCGCATTTTTCAAAATTCTAGAAGAATGGTACACGGCCCCATGGACGCCCCAGGTCCACGAGTTCCTTTCGGAAAATAAGCACAAGCATGTGGAAGTTCTGGGTGGGGAGAGATATCTGTGAACAAACTGACACCCCCAGAGTCCTCACAGGGGACAAAGGAAGGAGGGCATATCTCACCTGCTGGGGACAAGAGCTGGGAGGACAAGCTGGGAGGGCAGGCAGTGGCCCAGACACAGGGGTCAGGAACTCCCTGCAGGAAGGGGAGTAGGGAGTCTGAGCCCAACTTAGAGGAGAGTAAGTCACCCCAACTTGGGGGAAGAACCTTCCGGGCAGGGGAGGGACAGGGTGGGCACGGAGGGGCCACAAGACGAGCATGGTGACTGAACTGGAAGCTCGGAGCTTAAGGGGTCGTGGCAAGACCAGCTCAGTGAGCTTGGGAGCATCTGCTGCCCACTGGGGTGACCATCCTGTCCTAGTAACGAATGGAGGAAGTGAAGCCCTTCTGGGGGCTCCAGGGCGGGACTTCACTGCGTGTGGCCAAGGGCAAGGGGCATCCTTCACGCCATCCAGGCCACAGACACCAGCCAAGGGGGTGCCCACGGGGTCTGCAAGGGCCACAGGTGTACAGACAGGGGACATGGCAGTAGACAGAAACTGGGGGAGGCGGGGCTGAGACCCACAAAGGTCCCACTGGGATTTATACACACACACAGGCAGGGCCCCAGCACACATGTATACACACAGCACACACATGCACACACACGCAGCTCCACACAAAAAACCAGAGCGGGGGCAGGGGAAGGCAGGTGGCCGGCAGCCTACCACGGAGAAGCCCCTTATGGCATGGGCCGCCCCTCCTGGGGAAACCCAACTCACCAGGACGCCTTGCCTCTGGCCCACCCCGCCAACCCCCACAGCACAGCCTCATGGCACTCACTTAGCAGAGGGAAGGAAGTGGGGAGACAGATGAGTCTGCCACCCTCCCTCCTGCTGTCAGCCCACACAGCTGCAATGCACTGGGCAGTTTGTGGGACAGACAGGGAAACTGAGGCCCGGTGACCAGAGTGCTACGCACACAACACCCAGCCATGGTGGGGCAGAGGTGGGCTAGTATGACAGCCCTGGAGACAGTCCCTGCCCACTGCACCACGCCCAGGTGGGTGGGGACGAGTCAGCCAGCACACGAGGTCACAGGGTCTCCCCACCCACCACAGCCGCTAGGGGCCACACCACGTGAGCATTTGCCCCGCGGCCCAGCCACCCACAAGGGACGCGTGGTGACAGCAGTTACACAGCAGACCATTCCCAGCCTGCCTGCGGCCGAGGGCTCTGCGGCCCGGCGTGGATGCCAACGGTGCTGGGGGCAAAGGGGTGGCCCTTCCCCAAGCCGCACGGGCACCTGCTGCTCCTGCAGCCATTCACTCAGGCTCAGGTCCCCCCAGAGTGTCGGGCAGACACAGGCCGCGCTGGAGTGAAGATCCGTGGTTCTGTGGACCGGCGCAGCAGGGGGGTCCTAGAAGAGGGCTTCACCCCCCTGGGACCTCTATAATGTGAGGGCGGGAGCCCTCAGGACAGGGACCATCACTGGCATCACTGCTCCCCGGATGCTCGCCTCCCACAAAGCAGCAGACGGTGACAGTGCAGGGACCCCAGCCCGGGCTCGCACCCCAGTTAGCCGTTCCCGGGGCAGCGGACACCCACACAAGGGCTTTGCTCTCGCCTGCTGGCAGGGTGCCCCTTGGAGGGAGCAGCCCCACCGCCAACTGTAGGCCCTTGGGGTGTGGAGAGCAGCCTGGAGCTGTCCTGGGCGAGGTCCAGGCCTAGTGCTGCACCTTCGTCCCATGGCTGCAGGCAAAGCGCTCCCCTTTCTGGGCCTCAGTTTCCCCATCTGAAGAGCAGGAGGCTCGACTGCTCTCTCTGAGTTAAGGCTTCTCCACTCCCGGCTCTCCTCACTGGGCCCAGTCATCTGTGTGGTCTCAGCCCGGTCCCCATCGGACAAACGGGCTGGGCACATGGCCCCCCAGACCAGGGCCCGCACACCGGTTGGCCAAGCTGCATCCCAGCTCCCCACACTCCCAGCCCCCCAGCCCCAGGGGCTCGAACACACCCTGAGCCACGCCAGACCTGGGGCGCCCTCCTTGGCCAACACCACACTACCACACACTGCCGCGTTCTGGAGAGCCGGCTGTGTCTGCAGCACTTAACAGGAGTGTCTGTGACCCTCTCAGCTACCCCAGCGGCAGGGACTTGTCCTCCCTTGGGGCAGACACAGGTGCACGGGGGTGGAGGGTCTGCCTGGCGCAGACGGTGTGGGGCCCTGCACCTTCAGGACAAAGGCAAGGAGGATTCCAGGACCCTGGCACCCTGCTCTGTGCATGTCCCCCTCCTGAGCGGGTCTACACCTGACATTCAGAAGGTCCCATGTGGAGGCCTGGCAGAGCTCTGAGACTGGGCAGGCTGGGGCCCGGACTCATGGCGAAGGGCCTCCGTGTGCCCAACTGTGTAGTGGCGTCAGGCAGGCACAGAACAGTGCCTGCTAGAGTACACGTTCACGGCACGCTGGCCGTCACGATGAACGTCCGAGGGAAAACCACTATACTTGAGCGAGAAATGAGGCCAAACCAGAGTACCAATCTAGAAGTCATGACTTGTGCAGAAGCCCCAAGCTTTCCAAGGCAGGTGGACCCCTCCCTGGCTCAGAGGGGCAGAGAAAGAAAGGTGCATGGAGCGGCCCTGGGATGACTGGCCCTGTGAGCACCAAGCAGAGCAGGCTCGTCTCACTGTGACCCAGCTGGGGCTGCTCGGAGCCCGCAGAAGTTCCCCAAACCCAAGCCTACACTTTCAGAGCCCTCAATGCAGGAGCACAGCCAGAGCCACTGAGGGCACCGCACGGACCCCACAGGCTCATGTCACCAGGGCGCGCTGATGACCTTAGGCTAAACCCTGGTTCCTCCTCTCACTTGTTCACACGACTCCACAAATGTGTATGGGGCACTGGGATCCCACAGGGAACACTCGAGACAGAAATGGTGCCTGTTCATGTCTAGCTCACACGTTCTGGTGGGGACACGGAGCGAGTAAATCACAAGCCTGCTTCGGGGAGAGTGGTGACTGGCAGGGAGGCAAGTACATGAAACAGCACGGGGAGAGCCGAGTGGTTAGAAAAGATGCCACTTCAGGTGGTCACCAGTAAGGCCTTTCTGAGCAACACTTGCGCGGAGACCTAAAGGTCCCAAACAATGACCGAAGCAGAGGGAACAGCAGGTATGGAGACCCAAGGCAGCAGAGCCTAAAAGCGACTGCCAGGCCGGTGTGAGAGGGTGTCAGGTACGGGGGCAGCTGCAAGGCGGGCGGTGTAACCTCGCAGAGGCTGCAGGGCAGGACCTGGCTTGTCTGAAGGCAGGAAAACAGCCCTGGGGCCACCTCTCCCCATACAGGGCCGTGGCATGTGCCACCACACCACACCACACCCACGTGTCCTAGCTGGGGACCTCTTGGCCCAAGAGCCGTCTCAGGCCACGCAGATACGTATAACACAGGAGCCCAGGGCTGTGTGGTCAGCACAAGCTCCAACACAGGTGCCCCACCTGTGTATCCACCTGCCCAGACAGAAAGCGGCAAACCTGTCCCAGTGCCACCTCCCCCTGGCTGCCTGCACCGAACCCTGAGGCTCCGCACAGACCCTCAGGCCCCAGGGACAGGGCACTTCCCCTGCCCCAAAGCGCAGGCTCTGAGACTGGCGGCTTGCAGGCCATTGGCCCCCAAGCCCTGGAAAAGGAAGGGGGTCTGTTCCCTGACCGATCCCTATGGCCCCAGGCCCAGCAGATGCTGGTCCCTCAAAAATAAGTGCTGCGTGGGGCGCCTGGAGGGTGGAGGCACTGGCCGGCTGAGGCTGCAGGGCTCCGGGGCCCGTTCTGGAAGACAGGCTCTCTGACAGGACGCGTTTCCCTCTCCGCTCACCTGAGCTCAGGTAAGCCGGGCAGTGTTTGCTCAGCAAAGATCGGCCACCGTAAGTCAGCCAGACAGGCAATATTTCTGTCCTTTCTTAACCACCCAGCAAGCAGCGGTCACCGAGGGGGAGCTAAGGCATGACGGTCCCTCCCCTGTCTAAACAGGAACCTCAAAGGGAAGGGCAGGATCAGGAAGCACCCCAAAGCACCCATTTTGTCAGCCCCTCCGCGGGGCCGGCAGCGCACACCTCCCCGCACATCCTGAGCCCAACCAACCGATATGCTGGCAACAAACACAACTGAAAGATTGTGCGGCCAGACGGCCCCGTTTGGGTGGTGTGATTTAGAGGTCTTCCTCCTCGGGAGCTCGGTACACGAGCACCTCTGCACCCACTGCGGGCTACCGGCTGCTCCAGGAGCGTCCGGCCCGGCGCGCGGGGCCCACGCGGCCCGGGGCCCGCAGGCGGGGGGGTGGGGTGTGCCGATGCCAGGGGCTGGCATTTCCAGGGGCGCCCCGCCCGGCCGCCCCACCTACCTCCAAAGCCTCCAGCGTGCTGAAGCTGGCGATGGCGAAGCCGTCGATGACCTCCTCCTCCTGCGAGCTGGATTCGCGGCGGCGGCG